AGGTAAAGAGCAATGCTTACAAGGTCAACGTCTCTTCCACAGGGGTCTCGACTATTAAGAAGGACTTTACAAGGGCATCTCATTCCTAACGTTCACACCCTCAGTTCTAACGCTTGTGTAGACATTCTTTTCTCATTCATAGACTCTTAGCTCAGGATGAAAGTACATTCCATAATCCCATAATCACTATCACGCCCTACGTCGATTTAATGTAATTAATACGACGTACTAAGGAGCTGTACGACAAATTAAATATTGTTTCCGCAGACCGTGCTTCTTTGATTCAGGGTGCCATTTTGTTTGTTCGCTGTTTTTTTTTCTTTTTCTTCTTTTCTCACAAATATGTAGAAGCTCCAACTAGTTTGTTTCAATATTATTAGATTGATATATTTGAACATTTTGATATTAGATATACTAAAGCGTTATTGTCTTTTGCTCAATTATATGTTGCGACGAAAATTCCATTCATAAGCCCCGATAAAGGCGGCACTAGTCCCGCTCGTTGTTAGGATAAATCATAGAGTTATTGGCCATTGCATATATGATAATCATAATGTGATAATCTGCCGAGGATTAGATAATTTTATTTATATGTTATACTGTTCGTATGTTTTAATTAGGAACGATTTTAAAAATTCAATATATTTTCGGGCGATAATATCGTCTAATTACGATACGTATTACAGAAAATTCAAGTAGCATAACATCTTGAGAATATTAGCAATAAATACATGTTAAGATGTAATTAACAGTCTTAATGATTGATATTTTATTCAATCTACAGAGCTACTCAAGCAGTGGTCCTCTATTTATTTCAAATATATAAGAATTAAATTATGATAAGATTAGAGTACAATTATGTACTTGTATATTATTGTACTTGTATATTTCCGATGCGATAAGAATTTTATTTCTACGAAAGTAAATATTGCGTAGGTGGCCAATAATGATATAGTTTACCCTACTCTAGTTAACCCTATAATATCGTAAAAAAGAGAAATGACTTTCTTACTTAATATAATCACAAAATACATATATATTTTGGATGAAAACATTAATGTGATTTTATTGTAATTAAAAAAATAGCTATTTTAGAATTTTCAGAAATAATATTTGTTACCGAACAATTTCCCGTTTATCTTTTAACATTTCGATCGGTGATTATTCTGCAGCACCATTATTCAAGGCATTTTATGTAATACAGTGCTGTTAGTATAGCTAATCTTTTTTACTTTTGTAATTGACATAATTCAATATTACAAAGCTACTATCCAAATTTATTGACACAATGGAGAAATTGATCGTTAAATTTATATATAATATTTGTAAGTGCAATGCATATAACATTTTTTAACATTTTGCTTTTTTAATTAATTAACATGTTTCTGAAATATTTTTATTTCGAACGTATCTCGACATATCTAATTTATTCGGCATTTATATTATTTATAATATTATAAAATGTAAAATTACTTTTATTCCGGATCTTATAAGAGACCGCATTTATTATAAATAAAAGAGAGTGCAACAATTTCATAAAATCATTATAGTAAAAGAACAACAATTTAGTCGTATAAAAATAGTTTACACTAATTGTCACTAGATTTTAATATTATATTTTTCGCATCTGTACATAATATTGCGTAACATAATACTACGTGATTTTATATGTAGACAAAAATCTCGTGTATATGTATTCCATGCGCCATGTCAATTAATTATAAATAAATAAAATCTTTTGTAATAAAAGACAATTTGTGAAAAAATATAAATAAAGCGTAAATTCAACTGTTGTATTTTATACAATTGCATTGGATATTTACTTTATTGGATGTTAAAATATATAAGAAATTCAATACTTTGCATATGATTTTTTTAATTCTCAATCAACACAATTTTTTATATTATTTTGGTAACTATTTGTTATATTACTTTTTATGTTATTCTTGTAAGAAAACAGAATTGAACAATATATATAAGATGCAACGTATAAAATATTTTTTTAATTTTAATTAACTTTTATATTTTTAAATTTTATTATTTCAATACCTTCAAAATTGTCTTTATATCTCTTGAAAACATTTACTGTTTTATCAAAACGTATAATATATTTTTATATAATATATTTTTTAATAAATATATGCATCTTCAAAAATTTTTTTTAACAGGCAACATTTTGTATATCACTCTTGCATTAGAAAGAGACAGTAGATGATGTCATTGATCTTTTCTGGAATAATACACAACCTCTTGCTTCACCCGAAAGCGCCTTCATATACATATTAGAAATGAAAGATTGCTGAGGAGAACGACCAATGAACGATTTGTCTTTATGACGCAACGTGGTGATCACGTGTTCGAGGCGATTCGTCCAGACGTATATTTACTGAAGCAATAGTTTGTATAAACTGTAGTATGTGCAACCTTCACGCGGCTGCAATTACAGCTTATCGTAGAGCGTGGGGCAGTCGATTGTCTTGTCCCTTCGTGGAAACTAACATTGTGTCTTATTCTCGACTATTTCAATTAGTTTCAATTGTTTTCTACACGCATTTTTTAATTATATTATTTCGATCAAAATTCGCAACGTTTAAAATAATATGTTCTGTCTGAGTATGCCGGATCCTTATGAATTTCATATGTATGGTAAGTGCACACATATGTTATAGTACTATATTATATAATATTAATTCAAGCAATCTCTTAAAAATTTTAATTTAAAGTTGAATGAAAATATGTATTAAATGTTATGTGTTGATATGTTTACGATATTTACTTACCTAAAATGTGATAATCATGGATTCGAGTAACTCCTAAAAAAAAAGTTGCTCTTAATGCATCCTGTATTTTTTCGTTCTAAAACAAATCCATATCATATAAATATAAATTTACGACTTTAAAATTAAAAAATATATTTATAATTTATTATATAAACTCAATATTTTGAAAAGTTACTTTTCTAAGGAATTAAAATACTCAATTTTTTGTCAGAGTGACAATTTTAAAGTAAAAGCAAAGCAAAATAAATCATTTATTCAACAAAGGTCTTTATTTTAAGCCAAGTTGGAAAAGTTTAAAGAGTTCTAATTTATGCACATGAAACTAAAATATAATTTAAACATATAAAATATAACTTTAAACAAAACATAGAAATAGTTTTTAATAATACTTTGTAGATATGAATAATAATAACTATATTCTCGCGTGTACTATATATGCAATTATATTCGCACTGCAGTCATTGTATATGCGCATCACGTGCCGCATATCAAGCCTGCAATTACAGAGTTCGGTGTCGATGTATTGTTAATGCACAAAGCGGGAACAGACATCTGGCCGCAAATAGGAAAGATAAGGGTGATCGTAATACAATCAGCGACGCTTTGTCCGAAACCACTGACTAAGATGACTGGCATTTGCAAGGCATATATAATCGTGTGCACGTGCGCGTTCTCAATCGCATATAAAAATGAAAGCGTTGAAGCATAAGACAGATTATTTGAGTTACATTTTCATTATTTTAAATAGTCCTGAAAATGATATGACATTAGCTTACAATTAATATTTAAACAAAATTATAGTAGATCACATTTCTAGTTTTTGCATTTATTACAAGCTCGAAAAAGTATATAGACACTTTTTTTAAGAAACTTAAAGATAAAAATATAATTTATAAAATATGAAAATTTTTGATTTATGAAATTGTAATAATACACGAAATAAATAATAATAAAAATACGGGACGCCGATACATTTTCAAATTAATAATACTTTTCTTTTTCACACATTTCTTATATGCCATTCTTTTACAATAAGATAAAAAGGATAAGTTATATAAAAGCATGAACATGACTCACGGTCTCTGAGGATAATTGCAATCGGAGTTAAATAATGTGACGAAGTTGTCAGCTCGACAATACTTTTGATGAAGATCTTTGATCTAACGTTATAGAATGGTTTTATCTCCTAATCGATTCTAATTTGTCCTATCAAAGTCCTTCGTAGCCTTCATTATGTGATATCTCACCAATTTAATAGTTATATAACAGATTATTCGTACAAGTATTGTATTTGTGAGAACGTTCTATGTCAAATTCATAATCGCCGATGAAAAAAGAAGATCCAGATATTTCAGAACTATGAGACTGAAGTAGTACAAAATTATCTAAGAAAATAAAATAAAATTTACACTATTCAATGTGTCGATATTAACTGTTTCTTCTAAAATAATGTTATATAGTCACAACATAATCTTTTTAATCTTAAGAAAAATATAAAAAAGAGATTTATAATTAATTATTAAATGATATAATATCTTATGCTTTTTCATGACGTATTATAATGTTTATGAAAATTTGCAATTCACCTTCACATCGCACTCTACACTGTACTTTCCTCGAAAGCTCACATGAAACTGCGTCAAATACACGAACGCGGGAGCGCAAGTAATCTCTGTTTTCATGCTTAGAACTGATTAGATGCTGTCTATAGAATCTAGAAACAGACTACTGCGCACAAAATTAATGTATAAATTACATATAAGAGTTTTTCGAATCATATGTGTTTAATTCAAAGTAAGACCAATTGCGTTATGCCTCACAGTCAATTCTAAACCTAGATTTAATTATAAATACAAATCGCTGCCAATTGATTCTAGGAATTACCACATGTGTAAAAATACAGCTTTATAAATTTATTTAAATATTTCTAAAAATAATGCACAATGTATCTCGAATCTCGTCGGAAAAATATATATATTAATTCTATTATATTTATTCAATCGATTTTAGGAAAAATTTATATCTGATATATTGTTTTTAATTTTATTTTTTTATCCATGTACTACGATTTTTGGATAAAAGTATATACTGTAAATACGTAAGTATATACGGTAATTGATACATATGTTGGCTTGGCGCATATTTTAAGTGTATTTCTCTATCTGTAGTTCACAGATTTATATAGCATTGTGAGCCATAGGTAAATTTTCCCATAATTCTTCATAACATAATTCTACGTAACATCGATAAATACGCCAAGGAAGTTTTAATAATCTGCATAAAAGTATACATATATTATTATATCTGAATCTTATTCAAAGAAATTGTTGATTAAAAATTTGCGAGAAAAATTAATTAAAGACTTTATTTCCAAATCATATATATATATATATATATATATATATATTTTTTTTTTAAATCCGTATATTTAAAAATACAAATGTATGTAGAAGATGGACCATTTTAATTTATCTAGTCGATTTTCTCAAAATTTGTTTAAGGCAAAAATGTTTCAGACAAAAGTTTTACGGTTTTAAGGGGAAAGACGGTGATGATCTTAGTCGACTTTAAAAAGATGTCCTTAAGATCAAGGTTACTTAAAATTTGTTAAATATAAAACCTCTTATTTTTTATTACATATTCTTATAGCTATCTTCAAGATCTTTTGAAAACACTATAAAAAAGTTTATTTTTATTAAGTACTTTTTGAATTATAACACTCGAATGTTACAGTATACTGATGGCGCATTTGTATTATTCAAGGTGTCAAACTGATAGTTAAAAACATTTGGAATAAAATTCACAATCATGACGTTGACAAGTCAATTAACTTACAGGTTACACATTATAATTTGGTTCAAGGTCAGATTCAAGATCACCAATAGCTGTTTTCCAAAACCTTTGAAGATATGTAATTTCGTTCTAACATCAACCGAATTATATGTACCTCCAAAGTTTTTGGAAAACAGCTGTTAGTGACCTTGAATCTGGCCTTGAATCAAAGTTAATTATAGGATGTAACCTGTAAGTTATCTTGTCAACGTTATAATTGTGAATTTCAAAGGTTCTAGCCATCAGTTTGACATCTTGGATAATGCAAATGTGCTAGCGGTATTGTAACTTTCAAGCATCATAACTCGAAAAGTACTTAATAAAAATGTACTTTGTTAAAATATTTTTAAAAGGTCTTGAAGACAATGAAGACAGCTATAAAAATATGTAATAAAAAATAAAGGGGTTCTTTTAAAAAAATTATAGATAACCTCGACCTGACTTTAAGAACATCTTCTCAAGATCATCAACTTTTTTCTCCCTTAAAATCATAAAACTTTTATCTGAAAAATTTTTGCCTCAAACTTACAATTTTTGAGAAAATCGAGTGTATAAATTAAAATGACCCACCCTGTATAAACAGTGCGTTGCAAGACTATAAAGAATTTTGTAACACGTAAGTTTTATTTTTTTTAAAGTACGATTTAAAAGTAATTTAAATGTAACTACCTCAACTATAATTCAATTAACAAATGCAAATAACATAATATTAATTTAAAAAAATTTTAATTATTTTTATGTGTAAGACTGTTACTTTGATACACTCACGTCTGTAAAACTGTTTAAAGAAAATATATAAAATTTTCCGGCAGTTAAATACAGCATAACTTGGCCCCGAATCATGCAAATTAGCAGACTTTTCTTGCAACCGAGTGGCGTTTCGTACCAATTGCATTCATAGTATGCGTCTCGCACACTTAAACACTAAACACAAAACAATCAAATACTAAACATTTAATATAAAAATTGCGGTAAAAATTTTTGTTATTATAGTAATCTCAGACAAAATAGATTTGTTTCTCTGTCTAATATTAATAGGTTTATTCGCGTTGCTGAAAATTTTAAAAAATTTTTGTACTTTAAACTAGATAAATATACATTCGGACGTTGAAAAGAGAAAAAGCAAAAATATTGAATGTAAAAAGAGTAACGCGGACAAACCTATTGCTTATTGTTCCTCCCAACAATACCTGTTGAATTAGTTGATCACCAGTCAAACAATATCCGAAGAGTATGACAAGCGAAATAAGAGCAAAAAATGTAAAAGTGCAGCAGGTTGCTATTTTCGACACATCCAAGTTCTAAAAAGTATAAAATATCGTAAGATTGCATATGTACATAATATATCACATGTTTATATATTATACAGAGTGTTTGATAATTAACAATAAAAAAACTTTTGCATAGAGGCAGACTGGATTAAACTGGGAAGAAAAGTTCTCTACCATTTTGTATTTTTCGCATTAGTTAACGAGTTAATTTATGAAAATAGCCAAATTCGCCCACAAAGCGTGCGACGAACTAAACCATCCAACGAGGCGCGCGTTTGCCTTCCCTAGACATATTAATGTCAATGTCGCTTGCAAACAACGTACATCTTTCTGGGGGTGCGTTTTATTAAACGTTGGCAATGCTCCCGTCTATCATTCTTATCATTCTTATCTAATATTTGATGACAAAAAGAATGACATGATACTCACAAGCGTTAAATAGCACGCGCTCTAGGCGGTCTCGCCGCATTTGATGGTAGATGGGTGAATTGAGAAATTTTCATAAATTAATAACTCATTAACTAATGCAAAATATGAAACAATGATACAGAACTTCTCGACTCAGTTTAGTTCATTTTGTCCCTATGTGAAATTTTTATTTATTAATTATTAGACATCCTGTATATTTAGGATATTCTATAATTTCCAATTATAATTTTGTTGTTTAATGAACATTTAAAATTAATTTTATCTTAACAAAAAGTTCAGCATATTTGAATTCTCGTGCATTGGTAAAAATTAATACTGACTTCTGCACATTGAATGCGGAAACGTTTGACGCGTGGCAAAATGTGACGCGGTAGTCAATAAACTTACAACTTCTAACATATTCCATTGATTACCTCGTCGCATTTTGCTACGCGGTAAGCTTTTTTCGCGTCCAGTAGCCATAAGAGAGAACATTAGATAGTCGAGTACCATATTCTTGTCCGATTGTGCAAGAGAAGAAAACGGGAGATGCGGTCATCTTTCTCGTTTAAATACAGCCCCATAAAGAAAAATTGTATATAAGTAAACGTGAAGGCCATTTTAAAAAGTTATCACAGTTATATGTTCTACCGATTAGCATTTGATATTGCTAAATATAATAATGATATTTAATAATATATCATACCATTATGACGTAATATAATGAGATAGCCAATACAATACTGATGCCAACGAGTTCGTATAAAAGAATCAAATTGAAAGTATCGTCCACGGACTTCGCCATCCTTCAATCACCATAACATTTCCGACAGCATTATATATACAGAAAGAATAAAGAAGCAAATTAAACAAAAAGATCTACTATATGTTGAATACATGATTGCAATACTCCTACCATATTATCTTAAGATGCATTCGAACGAAACTACGAATTCTGTCTAGTGTCATGGTTTGCGAGCGTTCGTTAATATGTCTAATACGATATGCCAAAATGGACAACTCGCCGCAAATGTGAAATACTAAAATAACCATCAGACAAATCGCTGCCATGTGACATATAGCAAAGTAAATCATTGGAAATAGACAGAGATACATCAATATGTATATATGAGTATTGTTGATATCAAAAAATGGATGGATTCTGTATGGTAACATGAAAGACTCCGTACTATTTTGTGATGCTGAAAAAAGATGACAGAACGAACAAAAATAGACAAGAAAACAAATTTTTCTTTGAACAAAGCACATTGGTAACAATTAAAGTATTTAAAGAATATAAAGTAACTTTTTTTCTATAATTTTACCGTGACAGATTGATTAATAATAAAATAATGAGACAATGTAAATTTTATTTATCATACAATACATATATGTATATGTATACACAGTATATGTATACATTATAATCTTTATTTATTATTATATAGATACAATCATACAATATATTTAAATTTATTATAATTAGCAAGAAAAAGTTTGATTTTGCATACCTTGATTAATAGTCAAGAGGTACACAAGCGGTCTAAGATACAGCAATACGACCGTGATGAACATGCCAACAAATGAGCCATAGGAGAATATCTTAGACATATAATTGTAATTATAGTAAATCCTTTCCTCTTCAAAATTCTCGAATTTGCGTTCAACTATATCCTTTTTTATTATATGAATTAGGAGTTTTAGCAAATTACTGCAGCGTATCAGCCACACAAATAGGAACGTCATGGAATAAACCATCGATTCCACGAGATTCATCACAATAAGTTCCAAATTACCAAAAGCATCGTAAAAATCGACATATGCCATAATGAGATAAAGAGTGAAATGCGAGATATAAATCGCGAAACGGATATACGTTTGTTTGAACGGCCATATTCCTCCGATGGAAAAGATCCGTTCTAAATGAACAAATAAATCTTCAATACGGTCGATTTTATTCTGTAATATTACATTTTGGATAAAAGTCGTTGAAAGTGATATAGGTAACATTGATTAAATCGCATAGGTATTAAAAAAAATATATTAATATAATTATACGATCAGTACAAACACAGAGAAGCTGTTTTCTCCGGTGAAATGTTTTTTTTTCGTAATAGAATATTAACTTCTTACTTTCATATCGAGTTGTAAGTTTTTATCAACTGATCGTCTTCGACTGTGATTCGTTTCGTTGAATTAGATTTGTGCCGTGAATATCCATGCATGTGACGGTCGAAACATATAATATCTAGATTAGACTTATGTTTCTAATGCTTTTCATTTCTCTTTTCATTTTTCAGATTCTATACACTTTATATATTGTAATAGGCGGTCTGCTACCAACATATTAGCCAGTTTTTTTCCTAGCGTACTAATTATCTTACTGTCTCATGAAAAGCCGTTCCTTTGATTCATCTTAGTCTCTAACAATAAGCTTTTATTTTTTTGTATCTAGTACAATGTAGAAAAATTGCAGCGATTGCAATAAATACAATGCTGAGAATCATTAAACTTTTTAATGTTCCTAATAAATTTTTAATAATATTATTAGTGTAATTGTCTTCGCGTGCTGCGCAAATCCATCGTATTAATGTCTCCGAAGAAACAGTGACTGTATAGCATTATAAGCAACATGATAAAATCACGCTATGTGTTAAATAGTAAGATGTAACAATCGGTGTAGCTGGAGTCTTTCTAACAATATTTATGTAAAATCTTGATTTATGAAATCAGAAAGTAAAATATTTACAGACATAGAGATACTACTTCACGTTCCGACATCTACATATTTCTATATTATTTATTATAATACAAAACTTAATTATTTTGAATATATAAATATATATCAGCCACTTAATACAAAAAAATTAATGGTCTTAGACATAAAAGTACTGATGATTATTGGTTACTGATATCTGCAAGAATATCTTCGGCATGTGATTATACTTGTAAAAGTTTTTCTTCCGGAAGCTTCATAGGCAATGTTAGTCAAGAAGGTTCAAATAGGAATAGTTTGTGGCTACGGACTGTCCCTGTTGAGTGAAATTATTAAATTTTTATTTTTAGTTGAATTAATGATAGTCACCATACTATGGACCTTCTTTACGTCAATAATACAAAATGTTTTGTTTGAACAAGCGACGAATAAGTCACTTTACGAAGAAGTGATTGCAGAGTCTGCCAAATAAAGTCGGACATAAACTTCGTATCTTCATTATGAATGTGGTGACGAAAGAGAGATAAATTTGAGCGATGGCCAGCTTGCCAACGTCAACCTAGCGCAAGCGATCTATAAAGATACCGATACTTACGTCGTAGACGATCCCCTCTTCATGGATTCGCACGTCAGTAGACATCTCGTCGACAAGTGCATCTGCAGTATTATATTTAAAGGTAAGAGTGGCACGGTGCAGCAAAATGTTCATATTGTTATGGACAAAATATCTTTGCAATTTTGAAATTTTCTATGATTGTTTGTGTCGAGTTTCACTTAAACAATTATTAATTATGTTTTCTAATTTTACTTTAAATAACTTGATAATTATCGACTTGTTAATGAAATTTCTTGATTACAAATCATCATGGATGATAATCTCTGAACGCATTTAACTAAGGTACGTAATAATAATAGCAAAAATATGTCAGAGATGGTTTGAGATTATGTAAGATTATATCGAATTGGAGCGATCTTTTTGAAAATTATAATATATATAAATCAATCGACGCATATTAATTGTGCAATTTATGTAAAAAAATACAGTTTATATAAAACAGCAATCAAACGATATTTTAAATAAGGAACTTTTTTATGTATAAAATTGTTTTAAAATAAATATTTTTTATATAAAAAAAATATTAAAAATAAAATACAAAAATATTAAAATCAATTTATAATTTTTGATAACAATAATATTTTTCTTTCTCTCTTCTCACTCTTTATTATAAATTATACACTTATTTCTATTTGAGCATGTTCAATTTATAAATTATCTTTGCGCACGCTTCTAAAAATTATTGCTCTTCAATGATGTTACAAGAGAGAACATAATATTGTACTAATAAATATTCCATAGATATTTTAAAATCTGTTGAAACAATTTACTTTTGAACCATGTTTTTGTATTCTTACATTAACAGCAATGATATTTCAAGTGTCCAAAGTTAAGCTTTTTTTTTTTTTAAATTTTCTAAATGTATGCAAATCATCAGCTTACATCAGTTAAAGTGTTGAGGCAAAACATGATAAATTTCCATCTATTAGGCAGAGAGAAGTTTCTATGATTTTACCATGAATAATACTAACATTTGTGTAACACATGGATCAATAAGTCCCGAGACTAACCCAGAAATGGCGCTCGTAGTAAACCAGTAACCACGTCTTTCTAGAGTACTAACCTTTGCTTGAAACGTGTCAAAATTTTAAGTCGAT